CCTTGGCTCAAGGCAGCATAACTCCAATATCTGCCTCCATCTTTATGTGGACTTCCTCTCTGTGTCTATTCTCCTCTTCTTATAAGGACACTTGTAATTGGCTTTAGGGCCCACCCTGTTAATCCAGATTATCTTATCTCTAAATCCTTCACTTAATTACATCTACAAAGACCCTTTTAATATATATATATTAGGGGCCCGGTGCACGAAATCCGTGCACTGGGTGTGTGTGTGTGGGGGGAGTGTCCCTCAGCCCAGCCTGCCCCCTCTCACATACTGGGAGCCCTCAGGCGTTGACCCCCATCACCCTCCAATCGCAGGATCGGCCCCTTGCCCAGGCCTGACACCTCTGACAGAGGTGTGAGGCCTGGGCAGGGGACCCTCATTTCCCCCCATCACTGGTTCTGCCCCAGCCCAGGCCTGATGCCTCTGGCCCAGGCATCAGGCCTGGGCAGGGGACCCCCAGACCCCTCCAATTGCTGGCTCTGCCCCTTGCCCAGGCCTGATGCCTTGGCCAGAGGCGTAGACCCCCATAACCCTCCGATCGCCTGATCGGCCCCTTGCCCAGGCCTGACGCCTCCGCCAGAGGTGTCAGGCTTGGACAGGGGACCCCCATCTCCCCCCGATCACTGGCTCTGGCCCCCGCCCAGGCCTGAGGCCTCTGGCCCAGGAATCATGCCTGGGCAGGGGACCCCCATCTCCCTCTGATTGCTTGCTCCACCCCCCGCCCAAGCCTGACACCTCTGACCCAGGCTTCAGGCCTGGGCAAGGGGACCATCATATCCCCCCAATCCCCAGCTCCGCCCCCCACCCAGGCCTGATGCCTCGGCCAGAGGAGTTGACCCTCATCACCCTCCAATCACCAATCACCGGATCAGCCCCTTGACCAGGCCTGAGGCCTCCGGCAGAGGTGTCAGGCCTGGGCAGGGGACCCCCGGCTCCCCGCAGTTGTAGGCTCCGCCCCTGCCCAGGCCTAACGCCTCTGGCCTGGGCGTCTGGCCTGGGCAGCGGGGACCCGCAGCTGCAGCGGCCCCGGGATCGTGGGCTTCGCTTTAGGCCCAGGCAAGGGACCCCTAGCTCCTGGGACTGCCAGCTTCGACCGTCACCAGCTCCCATCGCTGGTTCCACCCCTACTTCCTGCTATTACTGGCCAGGGCGGAAAAGGCACCTGATTCTCCGATCATGACTGGGGTCAGGGCAAAGGCGGCCCCAGGGCCGCCTTTGCCCTGCCCCCCAGCTCTTAGCTCCCCCCTGGGTTTCTGATCACTGCCAGTGGCAGGGGGCTTCTTCCTGCTTTCCCTTTCGCCTCCCTGCATTGTGCCTACATATGCAAATTAACAGCCATCTTGTTGGCAGTTAACTGCCAATCTTAGTTGGCAGTTAATTTGCATATAGCCCTGATTAGCCAATGAAAAGGGTAGCGCCGTATGCCAATTACCATTTTTCTCTTTTATTAGTGTAGATAGTTGGTTTCAAAGAGGAAGGAAGAGAAAAAAAGAGATAGAAACATCAGTGATGAGAGAGAATCATTGATCAGCTGCCTCCTGCACACCCCCTACTGGGGATTGATCCTGAGACCCAGGCATGTGCCCTTGACTGGAATTGAACTCAGGACCCTTCAGTCCACAAGCCAATTGTTCTATCTACTGAGCCAAACCGAGCCAAACAGGCTAGGGCTCTACAAAGACCCTTTGTGCCAATAAGGTTACAGTCATTGATTGGGGTGTGGGGTGTGGATAAGACCCTGGGCATATGTGTTTTTAAAAATATATATATCTTTTTTTATTGATTTCAGAGAGAAGGGAGAGGGAAATAGTGATAGAAACATCAATGATGAGAATCATTGATTGGCTGCCTCTTGCACGTCCCCTAATGGGGATCAAGCCCGAAACCCAGGCATGTGCCCTTGACCGGAATCGAACCTGGAACCCTTCAGTCTGCAGACTGACGCTCTATCCACTGAGCCAAACCAGCCAGGGCTATACGTTTTTTGTAGCCTTAATTCAACCCTAGAACTTCTGATTACCAATGTTCCAAATGGTGAGAATGCAAACATCAGTATGATATGGCCTCTAGTTTTCTTCAGCTAAATAATGCTTATCAGAAGTTTTACATTTAAATACCTCCGATTGAGAATAAAATAAAATTGAAATTTTATATCAAATCAAATACATTTCAAACTCACATAAAAGGATATCTTATCTACTCTAAAGTCTCTTCCTGTTAATTTTTCCATAAATTCTAATGAACACTCTTCACTGATGTTAATTTTCAGTTGCCATACCATTCATCATTTCAGATGTTATTAGTTCAAGGTCATCCCTTTCAGAAAATTCCATGGTGTGAAACAATTTTAATTAGTTTCAACACATTTTGTTTCACTACAAATCAGAGTTGTGTAGGAGCATTGAATTCTGTGAGAGACCATTTACCGCTATGCCATTTTATCTTTAAGATATCATCAATATCCCTCTGGCTGAAGTTCACAGTATATTGTCTTCACCAAGTTTCCTTGAAAAGCAGAGCCTGCAAAAATGTAAGCAGTTTATTTGGGAAATAATGTGAAGGGACCCACATTCAGCCACACTGAACCTCCTTTTTGGGATATTGATTTTAAGCTATTTACTAAGAAACAAAGAACTCTGAAGTTTTAACCCTCCACTGTTTCCTACAAAGATTCAGAGAAACCTGCTTCCGGAAGGAAATCTTGGGATATTCAATTTACCTAATTTGAATTAAGTATGGTAAGCAAGAGGATTTCATGCAGGGACCTGTCAGCAAGCTGATGAATATTCTTTTGAAATCCTCCCTTTGGATCAACTCTAAAATCCCAGTCTTTAAAAGCCCCTAGGACAGAGGACCCAGCTCAGTGCTCTATCTATCTATCTATCTATCTATCTATCTATCTATCTATCTATCTCTCTATCTATCTACCCTCTGTCTCTCTCTCTCTCCCTACTATCATTCCCCATCTCCTTCCCCAGGCACATTTTCCTTGCCTCTCTCCTTCTCCTAAGCTCCAAGCTGTAACTTGTTTTCTGAGTCCATTTCTTCTATGGCTCACTTCTACCTTTGTGACTTACTAAATAAACTTTCTCTTTTTTATAAAATTTTATTTATTGATTTTAGAGATAGGAAGGGAAAGAGAGAGAGAGAGAAACATCAATCTATTGTTCCACTCATCTATGCATTCACTGGTTACTTCTTGTATGTGCCCCAACTGGGAATTGAACCCACAAATTTGGCTTATTGGAACAATGCTCTAATCAACTGAGCTACCTGGCCAAAGCTAACTTAACTTTTCTCTTATAGTTTAAGTCTTAGCTCTGAATTCTTTCTTAGCCAGAACTCAAGTACTGAGGTTGCTGAACCGAGGTCTGGTCTGACTCCACCCATCTCACACTTGGGGCCATCTTACTGCCAACAGCTGAGAGTTTTCATTGAGGTTTCATTGTGTAGGTATTTTTTTTAATATATTTTTTATTGATTAAGATATTACATATGTGTCCTTATCCCCACGTTACCTCCTACCCCCCCTACCCCCGCTCATGCCCTCACCCCCCTGTTGTCCGTGTCCATTGGTTAGGCCTATATGCTTGCATATAAGTCCTTTGGTTGATCTTTCCCCCTTACCTCCACCCTCCCCTACCTTCCCTCCAAGGCCAGACAGTCCAATCAATGCCTCTCCGTCTCTGGATCAGTCCTTGTTCATCAGTTTATGTTGTTCATTACATTCCACAAATGAGTGAGATCATGTGGTATTTATCCTTCTCTGACTAGCTTATTTCACTTAGCATAATGCTCTCCAGTTCCATCCATGCTGTGGCAAATGGTAAGAGTTCCTTTTTCTTCTTCCTCTTCTTAAAGAATACCTTTCATATAATACTGGTTTGGTGGTGATGAACTCCTTTAGCTTTTTCTTATCTGTGAAGCTCTTTATCTGACCTTCAATTCTGAATAGCTTTGCTGGATAAAGTAATCTTGGTTGTAGGTTCTTGTTATTCATCACTTTGAATATTTCTTGCCACTCTCTTCTGGCCTGCATGGTTTCTGTTGAGAAATCATCTGACAGTTGTATGGGTACTCCCTTGTAGGTAACTGACTGTCTTTCTCTTGTTGCTTTTAAGATTCTCTCTTTGGCTATTGCTCTTGGCATTTTAATTATGATGTGTCTTGGTGTGGTCCTCTTTGGATTCCTTTTGTTTGGGGTTCTCTGCACTTCCTGAACTTATAAGTCTATTTCTTTCACCAGGTAGGGGAAGTTTTCTGTCATTATTTCTTCAAATAGGTTTTCAATATCTTGCCCTCTCTCTTCTTCTGGTACCCCTATAATTCTGATGTTGGTACGCTTGAAGTTGTCCCAGAGGCTCCTTACACTATCTTCATATTTTTGGATTCTTTTTTCTTTTTGCTTCTTTGGTTGGGTATTTTTTGTTTCTTCGTATTTCAAATCTTTGACTTGATTCTTGGGATCCTCTTGTCTGCTGTTGGATCTCTGTATATTATTCTTTATTTCAGTCAGTGTATGCTTAATTTCTAGTTGGTCTTTTTTCATATCCTCCAGTGTCTCACTAAATTTATCCACGGTTTCCATAAAATTCTTGAAAAACCTTATAAACATGGTTTTGAACTCTATATCCAGTCATTTGCTTTCCTCCATTTCTGTCATTTGTGACCTGTTTCTTTGTCTCTGCATTTTTTATGCTTCCCTGTGTTGGTAGAGTGGTTTTGTGTGCTAGGTGTCCTATAGGGCCCAGTGGCTCAGCCTCCCCAGTTATCTGAGGTGGACACTCTTGGTGCACCCCTTTGTGGGCTTTGTGCACAGTCTTGTTGTAGTTATGCCTTGATTGTTGTAGGTAACACTGGGAGGAATTGACCTCCAGGCCAATTGGCAGTGAGAATCAGCTGTGTCTGCAGTGGGAGAACTTCTGTGCTGAAGACACCCTTCTGGGGCAAGACTTGCTTCAGTGGGGCTTTGGTGCTCACTGAGTCTGCCCCCTGAGCGTGTCCCTTATGGATCTGAGGAGTTGTAATCTAGATGGTCCCACTCTGACCACTGTGTTGTGTAGGTATTTTTTGATTAAAGAATTAGCCACATGATTGAACTCTCTTCTCTCCTCAGTGTTTGAGGGATGGGGCTGAAATTTTCAACTTTTTTTCCAGCCATCAGCAAAGGGCTCTGTCTTAAATCATTTCATTAGCATAAATTCAGATATGGTGAAAAGAAGTTCATTGTTAATAACAAAACATACTCTTTGCACTGAGAAAACCCTTCAAAACAAGGGTTTTGAAGCTCTGCATCAGGAACTGGGGACAAAGACCAAATGTATTACTTTGTAGTATACTACAGCACGATACATAGGAAGTGCTCATTGAACATTGATGATAATTATTCCTAACTTGTAGATTTGCCATGTACCACCATTATCACCACCACCCCCATAACAAATATGCTCTGTTAACTTTTCATTTAAAAAAATAATATATCTTAAATTTTAAAATATATTCAGAGTAAAAGATGTGGAAATAGTTAAAGAAATGCCATCCCAATTTCCTTTCCTTTGCAAAATGTAGGAAGCATATGTTTAAAAATAAAATGCAAGCACTCATTTCTGGAGGGCCTCCTCAGTGAAAGCAGCTGACAGTGGGATCATCTAGAAGTACAATGAACAGTTCTTGTTCTCAAGGAGTTAAAATTCTTGTTGGGGATAAATGACATTGTTAATGAACATAAAGCTAATCAGTATGAAAGATAATACTGGGTCAAGAGAGCTAGCAAAAGAAATGTTCTAACATATTCTACAAACAATAAAAGCCAGTGAATAATGACTTCAGGTCTGAGAGATTAAGGAAGTGTTTACAGGCAAATTTCAATACCAGAGTTGTTAGAATTTGAACCTTTTTGGGGAAGAAGGGAGGACTTTGAAAGAGGCAAAAGAGCTAAAGCTAACACCCTGAAATAAGAAAGACAGACTATATCCTAAGTATTGTCCAGACTGTATGTTTTAGGTTTGATATGAAAAATACAAATTTAATGTTAGCAATATCAGATTTATAAAGGGTCTTGTGTTTATTTATGGCTTTTTCACTATGAGAAGCTTATGTAGATCTGTTGAGGAGTTTATTGTATCAAAGGAGGGAAAACTATGAAGGTCAGTTGTAGAAATGGACTCGGGGATGTATTCAGGTCATCAAGACTTCATGGAGAGCTAAATAAAATGAGAAAGAGAAAAGTGTGAATTATTTACATTCTTGAAATCACATAAGTGAATTAGCCAAGAACACAGTTGAAATGTGACTTAATGGGGCAGGGAGTCCCACAGAGCCTGAACACATACCCACTGGGATTGCCCTGGTGAGGATCTGCCCTCCAGCATCTATCTATCTATCTATCTATCTATCTATCTATCTATCTATCTATCTATCTATCTATCTATCTAAAAGGCTAATCTGCAAAGTGTTCCCATGGGAGTTCTACCAGGAGACTGGGAGTTCAATTGCTCACAATGGCATGCGCTGACCATCAGGGGGCGGCATGGAATGAAGGGAGGCCCCGGCCACCAGCCAGGGAAGGGAGGCCCTGGCCAGCAGCCAGAAGGCCCCAATCAGCCCTGATCTCTGGCCAGGCATAGGGACCCTACCCTTGAATGAATTTTGTGCACCGGGCCTCTAGTCTGCTAATAAGAAAAAAAAGTACCCCAATGAAGTAAATAATAACTGGAGGTGGAACTAGCAGTGATCTCTGTAGCACTACCTTGGGGTTTAGGTTACAAAGGCTGACGGTGCCAGGAAAACACTCTGAAGTTATTTATAGAAGGGATAAATTGAACCTATTTGAGAGCTTCTGGGTCCAAGTGATATTTCTCTCCCTGACCTTGGCCAATGTCAGTCAAATGATGACAAATGCCCACATGGCCTTGCTATTTTCCTATTGGCTGTGCTACAAGTAAGAAAACTTAAGTTGAGAAATGACAAGTTTACTCTTTTCTCCTGAGAAAGCTGGTTTAGGATCACAGCAACTGCAGCAGCCCATGCCCCTTATTCTCACTCAGGAAGATTGGGCCTGCCCAGAGACAGTTCTGGGAATAGCACAAAAGTCAATATTCACAAATATCATTTCATTTGACCTTCACAACTCCAAAGGATGAGAATAGGATTTTTTGTTCCTCTTTTGCAGATGAGAAAACTGAGCTCCAGAAAGATTAAACTATTTTAGTAGCAATATGTCTTCTAAAACTAAAACACGTAGGTGCTTTGACTACAAGAAGCAATATTGTGAGCTTTTTACTGTCAACCTAAGGAAGGTCCAAACCTGTAAGAATTGAGTTTATTTGAGCCAAACTAACAATTACTAGGAAGCAAAATCTCAACAGATTGAGAAAATGCTCCTGAAAATGGCAGTTTTACCACTTATTTTATACATCAGGATCTAAAGGAAAGACTTAAGGGGTTTACAGGAAATCCATTGGTGATAGATTAGGAAGGTGGGAGAAAGCAAAGTGGGAAATCTCAAGGACTGGATAAAAAGTAAACAGAATAGACTTATACTTCTTTTACATAAACAGGTAAGTGATAGTTAACAGTTAACAATTACCATGATAATGATAACAATGAGGGGGTTTGCGGTCTCTGGCTCAGGTGGGAGATTGTGCCCTGAGGGATCTGGGAAAAGGGGTTACTCTGCCATTTCAAAGGTATGTTATGGTAGATGCAAAAATACAACAGACAGGCTTAATTAAGGTAAAGATTGACCTTTGTCAAGGAAGATACCCGCCTAGGACAGGACTACCTGTTATGACCCACTTTTAATTAAGAAGTTTAAATTTCAGACCATCATGTGTGGTTACTTTAGGTCTCTAAGTTTGTAAGACCTGCCATGCAGACCTCCCCTGAGCTTGTCAGGTTAGCATGTGGCCCCTTTTTTATCCACACTATGAATTAACATTTTTCTATATAGTCCATGAATACTTTTCATAAAACACTTGCTGAGTCTGTTTTCTGTATTTAGTACATTTAACTTGAACAAAGAGGCCCAAATCACCCCTGAGGAAGTCCAATACTATACCTTTCACTCCCTCAAGTAATATTTTATTTTGCTTTGTTTGATCAATAGTTTATTTGGCATTTCTAATTTAGTAAAACATAACTCTTCTTCACAGACAATGGGGAGCCTGAATCAACAATTATAATTTTTATAGGCAGAGATTCTGTAAATGAATATAGTGTATGAAATTGCTGTGTGAAGAATCAAATTTTCTAACTTTCTGAGAATCTGTATTAAACAAAAACAAAGCCAATACAAAGTGTTTTGCCATAAATCATATAGTCTGTACTTGAGTACCATTGTAATGAAGGCAGCTCTGGTGTAGAAAAAAAAAGTGTTACTAATCATGTAAATAGAAAATTTGCATTTGAATCTTGTTTCTATTGCTTCTAATCATATGATGGTAGACACTAGCCCTCAGTTTCATCTTCAAGAAAATGAGAATGATAATAATTTATCTCCTTGGAATACTGCTAAAATTATACCAAATATGACTTCACAATCTACAATGAGTTACCATCCTCTGACCCCCATCACCATAACCAGCAAAATCTCATAATACATAGCAGGAGTGATTGGGGGTGAGGGACGGCCTCTATCTTAATAATAATCCAATAGTTATCCTAAATAATTTATCCTTTTATTATTATTTTAAAAATTTTTAATTTTTTTATTGACTTCAGAGAGGAAGGGAAAGGGAGATAGAAACATAAATGATGAGAGAGAATCATTGATTGGTTGCTTTCTGCATGCCCCACATCAGGGCTAGAGTCCGAAACCCGGGCATACGCCCTGACCGGGAATCAAACTATGAACTCCTGGTTCACAGGTCGAAGCTCAACCACTGAGCCACGCTGACCGGGCTCCTCTTATTATTTTTATCAAATTTATACCTGATTCATTCAAAGCTATCGCACAGTACTAGAAATGAACTATTTAATATTTGTTGGAAAGCCTTTGTTTTGGACACTAAGTTAGCAACATTTATTTTATTGCAAAGCACAGCATCAAGATTCTTATAAACTACATGTAATTATATAGTATTTGATGCTTCCCCCTTTACAAAGAAGTAGATGCCTATAGTCAGCATGAAGTAGAACCAGAGAATTGTAGAAACTTGAAAAACAAATAGATTTGAAGAAAGCAGCTTTGTTGAAGAATGATGCATTCTGGTAATCCTAACCCCAAAGAGCATGTCATCCCTAGAGTGCTACATTGACCATCCCAAATATTTCTTTTAGAATCATATAAATGGCAAAAGAGCCTCAGGAACTTGGAATCAAATAATTTGGTATTTGTTGTCATCTAGATGGCATGTGTGGCTCTTGAGTTTTAAAACCCAACCTATAAGCCTGCAGTACAAGAAAAAGTATGTCTTAACTTTATTCTAGAAAGTCTGTTCTGGAAATGCAATGTAGAGAAGAATAAAGATATTCATTGAATGAAGATATGGTTTCAGTCATCTAATTGGCTTCTGGCCTTTGGGTCAGGAAAATTATCTTTGAGTTAAAAATGATAAAACAGCATATCTAGAGCCCAACAGGAGTAATAATTTTGTAAAGATGGACCTACCTCAATGGTTTTCAAAGTTTTCAGGTGACAAGTCTGAAAGTTATAATGCTATTTTTGAAATATGATTAAATACATATATATTTAATTCTATTGTGGTAAAGAATGGCTAGATGCTTATCAACCTTGTTTCCTGTTCTTGGCACATGTGACGACTATGTTTTTTCAGCCTCCATTAGTTGGAGTCATATATCTGGGTCATATATCTGGGTTCTAACCAATGGAATATGAGTGGAAGTTCATTATTAGATTGATCATCATAATGGCAAAATAAGAGTTTTCTATTATCTTCCCCAACAAAAAACACTGGTTTAAACAATCATCCCTGAGCTAGAGAGCCACTGTGGAAGTCCAGGAGTCCAGGGGAGAAGTTCTAGCACACCACTGAAGCAAAAATATCAGGGATTGTATGCACTGAAGGGGCACAGTTTCCCTTTACCTGCATCACCCCTCCCTCAGGGCAGCACCACTCAGTGACAAGAGAGACTTTCCCACACAGGACTCCTCCCACAGGGAAATATGAGAGGGTGTGAGTGATTGAGGTGTGCTGCACAGCTGTGGGGAAGAGAACAGCTGGGCAAAGGGCGGACAGGGCTTTCAGAAGGCAAAAAGTAATGCAGATTCTATGAACTGCATCTCAGATTCCATCAGGAAGCTCACCCATAAGGCACTGGGGATACCTCGCCTGTGGATCCCCTCAACTGGCCCGTGGACACCAATACTCCATGTGCCTCACCCAAACATACCTCCACATCATAGCCAGCTCCCTGTGCATTCTCCTGATGGTGGCAAGAGCCAGTCTTTGCAGATGGCTAGCCAGCACATACACAAAGCAAGTTCTATTCTGCAAGTCTGGAAGAAACCACACAAACATAAGCAATCAGCACTGCCTTAGGGAAATCAAAAGGGAGGCTGTCGGCACTCAGCTTGGCTTTGCAGGATTGAGAGAAGGCATATAATCTTAACAACCCCCCCTCCCCCAGTAAGGAATAAGAATTGTAGAGCAGGAATATCCATAGAAAAGGCCTGAGGTAGCTTCAGAATCTCCAATGTGACTGATGGAAGGTATTTCTCTCTCTAAGCCAGTCAGTAGAAACTGGAGAAGGTAACTGTTTCTTCAAAAAAGAAGATAGCGATGGAAGTCTTCTGGGAATATTAAAAAATCAAGAAAACATGATACCATCAAAGGAGCACAATAATTTTTGAGTAACTGACCTTAAGAAAATGGAGACTTGTGATTTTCCCATTAAAGAACTTAAATTCATTGTTCTAAAGGAGCTCATAGAGCTATAAGAAAACACACAAAAAAATATTCAATGAAATTAGGAAAACAATATTTAAGCAATATAAGTTTAACAGACAGAAAGAAATGCTATAATAAAGACAAAAATTATGGAACTGAAGAATACAATGAATGAAATGAAAAATGAAATATAGAGCATCAATAACAGACTGGATCAAGGAAAAGACATAATCTGCGAAGTGTAAGTAAGGTTCTTTGAAGGTATCTACTCAGAAGAGAACAAAGAAAAGATAATTTTAAAAAGTGTGAAGTATAGAATACCATTAACAGAAGCAATCTATGCAGTATTGGAGTCCCAGGAAAAGAAGAACGGATCAGAATGCTTATTTATTTATAAATTTATATATTTTTAAATTGACTTAGAGAGAGAGGAAGGGAGAAGGGGGAGAGAGAGAAACTTTGCTGTGAGAGAGAAACATCAATTGATTGCCTCCTGCACCCACCCCAACCAGGTATAGAACCTGCAACCTGGGTGTGTGCTCTGACCTAGAATGGAACCATTGATCTTTGGGGGCATAAGACAATGCTCAACCAACTGAGCCACCCTGGCCAGCACAAGAGTGCTTATTTAAAGAAATATTGGCTAAGAACTTCACAAATCTGGGGAGAAATTTAGACATCCAAGTTCATGAAATGCATAGATCCTTCAAAATTTCAACCGAAAATGATCTCTACCAAGGCACATTATAATAAAGCTATCTAAAAATTAAAGAAAAAGAGAGAATTTAAAAAGCAGTATGAGGAAAAAGAAGTCATTGTATATAAGGGAAACCCTGTCAGTGCATTTCTCACGAAGCCACTTGAAGTGCAGGACACAAAGGGTGATTCAAAGTGCTGAAACAAACAAAAAAATGACTGCAAAATATGTTACCTGACAAAGCTGTCCTTCAGAAATGGAGGAGAGAGCCCCAGTTGGCTCAGTTGGTTGGAGCATTGTCCTATACACCAAAAGGCTGAGAGTTGGATTCCTGGTCAGGACACAAAACCAGGTTGCTGGTTTGATCCCCAGTTGGAGTGTACATGGGAGGCAACTAATCTCTCTCTCTCTCTCTCTCTCTCTCTCTCTCTCTCTCTCTCTCTCTTCCTCTCTCTCTAAAAGTAATAAAAGCATATCCTCAGGTGAGGATTAAGCTGAAATTAAGGACACTAATTAGTAACATGAAAACACATAAGACTATAAAGCATACTTGTAAAGGTAAGTATACAGTCAAATCCAGAATACTCTAATATTATATAACTATAATATGGTGATATATTAACTACTTAACTCTAGTATAGCACTTAAAGGATAAAAATATTTAAAAAGACTATAGATACAATAATTTATTAATGGATACACAATATAACAAGAGGTAAATTATGACTTCTAAAACAAAAAAAAATGTGTCAAGGTGGTATTATTTGGGGAAGGAGTAAAAAGTAGAGTTTTTGTATGCAATTGAAGTTAAGCTGTTATCAGTGTAAAATAGACTGATATATTTATAAGATTTTTATGTAAGCCTTATAGTAAGCATGAGCATACTATACGAGATACACAAAAGATAAAGAGAAGGAAATCAAAGCATACCACTATGGAAAATCATGAATTCACAACAGAGGACAGCAAGAGAGGAAGAAAGAAACAAGAGTACTACAAAACAGCCAGGAAACAATTAATAAGACTTCATTGTAAGTCTTTACATTCTTCAAAAGGTATAGAGTAGCTGAATGAATTTTTTTTAAAATGTACACTTGAAACTGTGTAATTTTATTAACCAATGTCAGCTCTATAATGTTTTAAAATTAATAATAAAAATAAAATAATTAAAAAAAAAATAAGAACCAATTTTATGCTGCCTACAGGGGACTTATTTTAGCTTTAAGGACACACATAGGCTAAAAGTGAAGAGATGGATAATGTTTTTCCATGCAAATGTAAACCAAAGAGAGCAGAGGTAGCTACACTCTTATATCAGCAAAATAGGCTTTGAGTCAAAAAACTGTAATGAAAGACAAAAAATAAGATCATTACATAACAATAAAGGGGTCAATTCATCAAGATGATATAATGATTATAAATATATATGCACCCAACATTGGAGCATCTAACTATATTAAGCAAATAGTGAAAGATCATACTAATACATCTGAAGGCAGAAATAAACAACAATACAATAATAGCAGAGGACTTCAATATGCTGCTTTCAACAATGGATTAATCATCCAGACAGAAAACCAATTAGTAAACCATGGACTTGAACTACACTTTACACTAAATATACCTAGCCCACATATACATCACATTTAATCCAATACCAGCAGAATATGCATTCTTCTCAAGCACATATGGAACATTCTCTCGGATAGATCATATGTCACAAAACAAGTCATATCAAATGTCAGGAGAATAAAATTATACTGAGTATCATTTCTGACCAAAATGATATAAAACTGGGAATCAATAATAGGAGGAATACTGGAAAATTCACAAACTTGTGAAAATTGTACAATACACTCCAAAACAACCAATAAGTCAAGGAAGAAATCAAAGGGAAAGTTTTTTAAAATCTTGAAACAAACACAAATGGAAACACAACATACCAAAACTTATGGGATACAGCAAATAAAATTCTAAGAGGGAAGTTTATACTCATAATTGCTTGCAAAAGAATGAAATTGGACCCCTAACTTACACCACTCACAAAAATTAGCTTGAATTTGATTAGAAACTTAAATGTAAGACCCAAAATGAAAAGCTTTTTCACAGCAAATCAACAATCAACAAAATGAAAGGGCAACCTAAGGAATGGAAGAAAACATTTGCAAACCATCTATCTGATAAGCAGTTAATATTTAAAATATATAAGAAACTCATACAACTCACTAGCAAATATTGTCGTTGTCGTCATCATCATCAATCATCCATATAAATACTTAAAGATAATTGTAAAAATAACAAAAATGTTTATAAAAGTCATAAAAAAATGAACAGAGGACCTGAATAGAATTTTTCATACAGAGATTAGACTAGTGGTCATCAAGGGCTAAGGGTTGGAGATGATGGGGAATTACTGGTCAAAGGGTACAAACTTCTAATTATAAGATGAATACCTACTGACGATCTAATGTACAGCATAGTGACTAAAGATACCAATACTGTACTATATATTTGAAAATTACTAAGAGCCCTAACAGGTTTGGCTCAGTGGATAGATAGAGCGTCGGCCTGCGGACTCAAGGGTCCCAGGTTTGATTCCGGTCAAGGGCATGTACCTTGGTTGCGGGCACATACCCAGTAGGGAGTGTGCAGGAGGCAGCTGATCGATGTTTCTCTCTCATCGATGTTTCTAACTCTCTATCCCTCTCCCTTCCTCTCTGTAAAAAATAAATAAAATATATTTTTAAAAAAAGAAAATTACTAAGAGAATAAATCTTAAATGTTCTTAACACACACACACACACACACACACACACACACAAGGCTAAGTATGTGAGGTCATGGAGATTTTAACTAACCTTATTGTGGCAAGCGTTTCACATTAGAGTATATGTGTATCAAATCATTACCTTGTACACCTTAAACTTGTACAATGTTATATGTCAATTACATCTCCATAAAGCTAGAAAAAATAGGTGCTATTTTTACCTTAGTTACTTCAGTTTAGAATTAATTTAGGAAAAATAATAAATAAGGGTCTTGAGATCCTATGTATTGATTCAACTTAACAATAACCCACAACCTTTGGACCAACTAGATCCTATGTATTGATTCAGAGTAAAGATATTATTTTGTAAAAAACACTAAGGTTACTTTGCAAAACCTAACTGCATATTCAAACTACAAAAATCATTCAGTTGGCCCAGGTTCAAAATGCAGGCACTCTATTTCAACAATGGATCATAGTGCATAAGGGTTTATACTTTGCTTGATGTTATTTCTTGCTACCTCTGAAATCTATTACAACCTTTTTGTTATCTTCAGTGTTGTTGGTTCTGTCTAATTATTCTCCAGAGACAGACCAGAAAACACAGATATGAAAATAAAGCTTGATATTTCTATGAAAACAGATTGGTGGTAGGCAGTGAAAATGTCTGAGAAGAAAGTGGGTGATCTTTCTGCATAGTCTATATGAAGAATAAAAAATTTCTATAATTATAAATATTTATATAATGACACTTTTGGTTATAAGAATTCTAATAGCTTTGTAGAGTTTTACAAGAACAGTAATTAATAGATTTTTAAATTCCTCTTTATGCTGATGCCTTAGTCCAGATTTTAAGAGAACCTAAAAGTTTCTAATTTGAATTCATTAAATGCACTTTACACTTTATATTAAAAGACCACCAAAAAGCACATTCGTCAGGATTAGAAACTCAAGCCAAAAACCATTTTGTTAAACTGGACTTCTCTATTTATTTATTTTCTGTTCTTTAATCATTCAATGTTGAATCCCCAACACAGATGCAATGCTAAGAAGGATACGCAGCTGGGCTTTTGTTAATCTCAGGACTGATTCTATGATGGTAAAAATGAAAGATAGAGTAAATGAAAGCTTCCTTCCCCTTCCATTTCTAGAATTCTATCTTGTAAAGGGCATGTCTTTTTGTCAAGTAAAGGAAAGTGGTTGCTTTTTCTTCCTTGTGACAAATGAAATTGAATAAATACATATTTCTTCCTTAACACCTTTTGTGTTCATAAGTTAAGCAGGCTTCTAAAAGTGAAAAATGATATTACATGAATTGCAAATGTTGAAGGAGCATCTATATCATATATATATATATATATATATATATATATTATTTTGAGCTTTCCAATACTTTTCAGACCAACTCTGTAACTTCATACACACGTAGACATTTAAAGGATTTCTTTTTTAAATCCTTATATTTTCAAACATTTTCAGCATCTCAGGATGAAACTCAGAGGCTGCTGAGCCTACTAAAGATTGGACTTATTATAAGCTGATATAGAGCCGGGTGATGCCCTGGGCCCTAGAGAAACTTTAA